ACATTAAAAAAAAAAAATTGCTGTCAAGTTGATTTCGACTCATAGTGACCCTATAGGACAGAGTAGAACTGCCCTATAAGGTTTTAATAGCCAGATGCTAACCATTGCACCACCAGTGCTCCTTAGATACATAAAAACCCACTGCTTTTGAGTTGATCTGATTCCCAGATCAAATCAGCAGAACTGCCCCATTAGGTTTCCAAGGCTGGAACCTTCACAGAAGCAGACTGGCACATCTTTCTCCTTAAGAGCGGCTGGTGGTTTCGAATTGGCGACCTTTTGGTTAGCAGCCGACTGCTTGGCCACTATGCCACGAGGGCTCCTTATATACATACAAGGAAGTGGTATTCACCTATACAGTTCTGATAATGCCACCATGTACCTTGGATAAACCTTGAAAACATTATGCTAAGTGAAATAAACTAGATACAAAAGGACAAATATTTTATGATTTCCCCTGTGTGAAATATCTAGGGTAGGCAAATCCATTGAGACAAAAGATTAGTGGTTACCAGAGGCTGTAGAGAGGGGAGAATGGGAATTAAAAAAAAGTACTTAAAAATGCCAAGTAACACAAACAAACTTTACAATGTAAAGTCCCAAATATAAAGTATTAAACTAAGTGTAACATGATTTTGTAGTTTATAGAGTGATAAGAAAAGACTCTAATTGACGTGTTTGAAACACTCTCCACTGAACAGTGCAGATTTAGTAGTTTATAAGGCTACGTTTCCTTCTCTACACTTTCAAACATACTTCATGATTATACAGTGAAAAAAATACACACATATAATTACACTGGAAATATTAATTGTTCTCACTTTTTAGAATCAATCTATAAAGCATAGAAGACCATTAGTTTTATAAAACAGACTGCAAATATTTTAAACCATATCTGTAAAAATGATGGCTTAACTAACAAGATAAGGGATGAATAGGAAGATTACGTGAAAGGAAGTGAATAGGATGTCCATTTTTTCCTTGCATGATTGTTAGTCAGAGGATACTGCAGAAAGTTGGTGGATCAAGAAAGAGCTTCAGGTAACAAAGTAACCAGTAGAAAAAGGTATAAAGTTATTCAGTAAGAAAACAAACCCACTGCTGTCCAGTCTATTCTGACTCAGAGCAACTACCTATAGGACAGAATAGAACTGCCCCATAGGGTTTCCAAGGTTGTAAATCTTTACAGAAGCAGACTGTGACCTCTTTCTCCCACTGAGCGACTGGTGGGTTCGAACCACAGACCTTTAGGCTGGCAGCTGAGTGCTTTAACCACTGTACCCTCAGGGATCCTGAAGTTACTCACTAGAGGCAATTATTTACAGAATTGTTTGCTTCTTTTAAAGTGATTTATTTGAAGCAGTCTCTCTTTTTTCTTAATAACATTTTTAAATTTCTGAAATTGAGATGTTTTCAGAAATATGGGAAAGAAGGTGTTAGCTATTTATCCACTACTAAAAATAGTATAATTAAATCAATAATGTCTCTTACATTATCAACATGGCATCTTAGAGTAGAGGAAATACCATGTAAGGCTCAGAAATAGGAACAAATTAAATATCTACTGTAGTTGTTTTGAACTGTAAGTTTACTTAATAATCAATATCATAACCTTTTATAATTAGAGGGATTCATACCATCTTCCCCTCATAAAAAACATGTGTATCATTTGAATTAATGCCTTATTGAGAGCCTAGCCCACAGAATACATTCAGTGAATGGTTCTTTTAGAGATGTAACTTTTTATAGTGGAGTAACAACCTTCTTTATTTACTTTTATTGGCTATTCCTACTCAAGAAGGAGAATATACTATTATGTTGATTTCAAGCTCAGAGTTAATATTTGATGTATCTTGTTCTGATTAAACAATGATTAAAATATATATAAAAGTCACATTGTAGGTTGATAGTTGTCCTCCATTTGTGTTACACTTTCTCTCTGCAGCAGTACAGTGACCTAAATTGTTTGGAACACTGGACTGAAAGCTTTATTTGAATATAGAATTCCCATCCATACTTGGCAGGCGTTTGGGTTATTTACTAGACACTCTAAGTCAGTTACAGGAAGAACTGTACTTTTTTCCCCCTTGATTAGAAGTGAATAACTTTGTAAGGTATAAGCTTCTGGAAGGTAGGCCCTATTTCAACCTGGAATATAGCTTAAAATTATTTTACGTCTTAGGTATGTTCCTAAAAAATTGGTTAAACCAAAATTTGAAGTAATTTATCATTGACTTCCTGTATAATTTCAGAGATGTCTTCACAAGGGAAAACATTGGCTCTAACATGTAATAAAAATCACATTTAAGAAACTGAATCTTCCCTTTTAAAGTAGCATTTTTTAAAAATTTGAACACATTTTTTTTATAGAAATGAAAACAAATAATACTTTCCAGTCTGAAGTCCCAGAGACAACCACGTTCAGCTCTTATATACCTGTTTCCTGGTGTTTACTTCCAGGTTATGTCTTTTGTCAAGCTGTTTCCTTATCCTGCTGTACTGTTCTTTAGAGCACTGATTATTTCCTGATACCATGATATTTATTTGTATATTATAGGCTGTCTCCCTCACTAGATAGGATGTAAGCTTCACGAAGACTGAGCTCTTGTCTGTTTTGTTCACTGCTGAATTCCTAGAGTCTAGAACATCTCTTGGGTTCCTCGTAGGCCCTTAGTAAATACCTATTAAATAAATAAACGAATGAATGCTGGAGACTGTGCTGAGTGCTTCCAGCATCGTCCTTATGATGCCACCACGCTATGAGGTAGATAATTACTGCTCTGAGTTTGCCAGGAGAGCAAGGCAGGAAAAGGGCGTTCCAGGCAGCAGGATAATGTGCCACAAAGTCAGACTAAAAGACTTAAAAAAAAAAAAAAAATTTCCGGTATGCTGGTGTGGCATTCTGGAAAATTGGGTTTGTTAAATTGACTGCATTTCTTGCTTTACTTCGCCATGGAAATCCTGATTAACCAAATTACTTTTCTTTCCAAGATATTTTCCCAGAATTTAGAAGAAAAAAATCTTAATATTAGGTATATTGTGTGTTTTTACATGGTAACATAATAAAAATATTAAAAGTAAAATGTATCACAATCTTTCCTCTGTAGTTAAGCCAAGTGAATCTTGTGTGTGTGTGTGTGTGTGTTTATGTACACCCTTGCCCCTCCCAATGAATCTAGTGCTTATTTAGTGCTTGTGAAAAGTCACTGTGGCACTTGGTAACAGAACTGTCTGGTCAATGGAAAGGATGACATTCCATGAGGCAGCTGCTGTGTCATGGGTCTTATCCGTGGCCTTCAAGAGGGGGCACTTTAAAGGGTGACCCGGTAGGTTGAGCCTTACTGAGTCTTCAACCTTCTCCATCTTCTATGGACTCATAGAACATGCCAATTAAGGTGGTGTTTTTTGTGCGAACCCTCAAGTAACTGGATCCAGAGCCTAAATTTTTTTATTTCGTATGGCTCAGCAGATGGTAGCTACTTCATTGCCACCACATTGTCCTGATTTAAATCTGGAAACTGCCACTAAAAGGGGGGCTGTGTATCCTGCTAAGCAAGCCTCCAGGTTGAAGCTGTACTTCTCTTGTTTGTGCTTCTCAGGGTGTTTTCCTGATTCTGTTTCTGGCAGAGTCTTTGAAGAAGAAGAATTTTCTTTAGTGAATTAGTAAACAGAATTTTTTTCTAAAAAATCATGTACATATGTCTGAGTTTGAAGCATGTGCCTAAGTTTTTAGAAGAGAAAATACTTTTACTAGTTCACCAAAGAAAAGGATTTATTTAGGAGAATTTTTTTGAAAAAACTAAATGTTATAAATATTGATTAAATTGGTAAAAATTTACGACTTATTTAATGGAAGCAGGTGTCTTCTTAAATTAAGTTATGGCAACAGAAAGCACAAAAATGCAGGCACATTTTCTATTTGATAACATTATTTATGGCTTTCTAAAGTAGTTATATTTACGTGTAAGGTAGAGCCACAGGGATCTATTTTAAATGAAGGTGTATAACCTTGTAGCTCATATGCTAAAATTAAATAGTTGTTAATTTTAGGGTTATAGTAAGTAGATTTCTTTAGTATCATATGACCGCAGCTTTAGCTTTTATTCAGAAGAAAAATAGAACCAGGAAATCAGGATTTCTTCATCTAGGTGGTTTACAAACTCTTACTCAGCAAAACAGGAGTCATAATGCAAAGTCTTCGAAATAACAGAGCACTTCTCCTTAGTGCCTACCAAGCCTCCCTCCCCCACCTCACCTTAACATTATATTTTCATGAGCATTTCACAAGATTTCTCGTCCCTTGTTCCCAGTCTTGACCCACTGACCTAAGAATCAAGAAAATGTCATGTTAGTGCCTACTAATTAGTGCACCCGGAGAGCCTTTTCATCTGCCCTTTCAACCTTCTGGAGGTAGGAGCACAAGCTAGCTGTCACTCGTATCGTGCAGGGGAAATGAACCTTTACTGCATTTTTCCTGTTTTGCAAACAGCAGAATAAGCCCAGCTGAGACTAGAGATGAATATGCAAGATTAGGAAGAAATTAACCTAAAACGTACTGCCGTTTCCACGACTGTCTTGTAGATGACACAGTACTGCTGTCATTGAAATCCTACCATAATGGGGTGCCCACATGCCTGAGGTTTTTAGCAGAGTGTGTCTGTCATGTCACACTTTTATTTTAATACCATCATATTCATTAGGTGAAGTACTAATTTTAAGTGAGGAATATTCTTTGATTAAAAAATTAAGGAGAATTTTAATGTGCTTAGGTTTCCGTTACTTTTAGACATGCTTACTGAGAATACCAGACTTTGTCAGTGAGCATTTGGTTTGAGTGCTCATTAATCAGGCCTGTTGGGCCAGGGTCTCCTGAGCCTTCTAGGTTTTGGGAGATCAGCTACTGTAATTAAAGGGATGAAATATATCATGGTCACAAACTTACCGCTCAGAAAATTGAGGGTTTCGAACTGGAGGAATTAATCTTTTTAATTTTTCCTTAGGTGTTTAAGATAGAAGTGCTAATGAATGGAAGAAAACATTTTGTTGAAAAGAGGTACAGCGAATTCCATGCCTTGCACAAAAAGGTAATTTTTTTTTCTTCTTTTTCTCTATTTGGCAACTGCTACAAAATTAAGATTGCTTTCTGTGGTCGTTTGGCATTTCTTTGAACAGTATAGTTTCTTTTTATCATGAAGTAAATTTTGTTTTTTAAATTCATCTCTTAAAAGTACGCTTTCTAGTTAAGTAGGTTTTTTGTTGGGAACTTTCACATATGTCAGACATGAGGCTACAGGCTGTTTACAGTGTACAGCATTTGGAGTCGGTTCAGAACAAATAAGAAGACGTAGGTCCTATTGTTTTATTTATGAATTATATTTAGTGTTTTTTACAAAAAATAGTGAATGATCAATTTACAGAAAGAAATTTATCAAACTCAGCTTATGTACCTGGTAAAGGAATATGCATGTACACATGTGTTCAAGGACTGTTTGGGAAAAACATTTAAAAGGAAACCCTTAACCTCCGTTTGGATTATAAAGGACTACTTTACAAGACTGATGGTTCACTTCTAGGATCTTTTTAATTAATAGTCTTAGATAAAAATAACAGGAATGCAAAATAAGTGCTGAGTATTTCAGAAGAAATGGTCAGTGAGGAATAGAAGAGCGAATGCATTTTATTTTCCACCATGATTTAAATTTTTGCAGGTTATAAGTTATTATTGGGGTGCTGAAATTATCTTAATAACTAGAATTGTTGTTAGGTGCTATTGAGTTGGTTCTGACTCATAGAGACCCCATGAACAACAGAAGGAAACGCTGCCCAGTCCTGAGCCATCCTCACGATCATTGCTATGTTTGAGCCCATTGTTGCAGCCACTGTGTCAGTCCATCTTGTTGAGGGTCTTCCTTTTTTTTCGCTGATCCTCTACTTTACCAAGCTTGATGTCCTACTCCAGGGACTGAGCCCTCCTGATAACAAGCCCAAAGTATGTGAGACGAAGTCTCGCCATTTTTGCCTCTAAGGAGCATTCTGGCTGTACTTCTTCCAAGGACAGATTTGTTTGTCCTACTGGCAGTCCATGGTATATTCAGTATTCTTCACCAACACTATAATTCAAAGGCGTCAACAATGGCAGCAAAATAGTGGCTGCAACAATGGACTTAAGCATAGCAATGATTGTGAGGATGACACAGGACCAGGCAGTGTTTTGTTCTGTCATACATGGGGTCACTATGGGTCGGAACCCACTCGACAGCACCTAACAACAACAACCTCATAAAGTTACCCAGAAAAATCACCATGTATGAGTCAATGTGATTTTATTATTTTTTCCTTTTGCATACACATATAGTGTCGGACATAATTCTTTCACTTCCTTTGTGAGGTAAGAAATAAGATGGAAAGATACTAAGTATGCTGAGTAGGTGTCTTAGTTATCTAATGCTGCTGTAACAGAAATACCACAGGTGGATGGCTTTCACAAACAGAAATTTATTCTGTCACAGTTTAGGAGGCCAGAAGTCCAAATTTAGGGTGCTGGCTCTAAGGGAAGGCTTTCTCTCTCTGCTGGCTCTGGAAAGGTCCTTGTCTCTTCTGAGCTTCTGCTCCTGGGTGATCTTCATGTGGCTTGGCATCTCTCTTCCTCCAACTCTGCTTCTCTCAATTGTTCAGTTTCTTTTATATCTCAAAAGAGATTGATTTAAGACACACCCTACACTAATCCTGCCTCATCAACATAATAAAGAAAACCCATTCCCAAATGGGATTATAACCACAGGCATAGAGGTTAGGGTTTACAACACATATTTTTGGGGGCACAATTCAGTCCATAACAGTAAGTTAAGAAAGATAGAGTCTGTTCTGATTTGATTAAAATCCTCTTTAATTTTCTGGGAAATTTCAGTGCATAAATGATGTGATAGTGTACTTAGTCTGTATTAAATGTTCTTTAGCATTTTTTTTTCGATAAGTTTTACATTTTTTAGTCAGGAGAATAGAGACTTGAGTAAACGTTTTCTTTTGAAAGGGAGTCCTAAGTTATCGCTACACTTTTCTGTTAGACTGGCAGGGGATAATTTACATCTAATCCTTCAATTAAAATTTTGTTAAGTATAGATTTACTTCCAAAAGAAACAATACAGGTGAGTATAGATACTCCCCCCACCTCATCCCAGGTGCTGCCACCACTCCAAAGCCTGGTAAACAAGAGCACAAAGCTAGGGCCTCAAAGAGCAACTGTCCTGGACTCTGAGTCTAACTTCCTTCTCATGGAATCCAGAGTTTGTTTGGGGGAGGAAATACAGATTCTGGAGAGGTTTCTGCTGGTACCTGAATGAAATCAAGTCCCTGCAGTGAGATTCAAGCCAAAACTCCATCCCCCTGCTCGGCCTCTGGCGACCAGGGTCTGGACTTGGCAGCCTGTCATGTGAAAGCCTTCTTCTTAACCTCCCAGGTCAGCACCCAGCACTCCATGACCCTAACACAGCCCAGCTGTTCTCTCCAGGTACTCGGGGACCAACTCCACGAGAGGCCACAGCTGGGTGACTGCCAATTAGGCCTACCCTGAGCAAGAGGCTGCAGGTGCTTTTTCAGAGTGGAGGGTCGGATGTTCATCCTTTACGCTTCTCTAGTACGATTTATTTTCTTCTGCAGAAGAGGATCCTCTCTGCAGTGATTATAGGCAGTTCTTAGATATTCAAGAGCAAAAAAAATTCCCCACTACTTTAGGATTCACTCTTCACTCAATTTCTGCAATTCTGTTAATAGTTTTAGTTATTTTTATGATTGTATAATCAGGCCTACCAGAGTTATAAGAGTCTCAAATCTCTTAATTTTGCATATTTTGTAGCAGCCTTGTTAAAATATTTGAGACATCTTTACAGGGACATAGAGATAAAAATAGCCTTGTGGAGCAGTTTTTTAGTTGGGATTCAATATGTAATCTTATGTACCCTAGAGTATAAGTGGTTGTTAGAAGCCTCCTTTTCTTGCCCTGTTATAATTGATTTGGAGGCAAAAGGTAACTATAAAGAGCAATTAAATGTAAGTAATGGTATGGTGTAAAAGTAAAACATAAATGTGTAGCCTTGACTGTAACATTATGTGTTAAGAAGCATTGAAATGGATAAAAATTTTGTCGGAGTGCACAGGCCTTACTGATTGCTGCTGCCACATTTTGGAACCTTATTGTTTATTACAATTTTGATACCCTCAATTTCCGTATTTGAATTTTGTAACTTGCTTTGGATGTTATATTTTTACATAAAATATTTTCCTTTAAGTGCAGTTAAATATAGTTCCATTTAATTTTTTTGAAATTCTCAACTTTTTATATGGTATTTCCAATTTGCTCTGTTATCAGTGTCCTGGTTTTCCTTATATTTTGCATTATATTTCTCACTTACTAAAAAAAGTGTTACCAAATGTAGCTGTGTTGGCAAGCGCTTTGGGCCTTTAGAATAACGGATGCATAGCTTCTGTCCATGTGCCACAGACACGCAAAATGCTTCCTGGTTGATTGCCAAGCTAATTTTGTGGCAGAAACTAAAACTTACCCATTTTAACTGTTTACCAGGTTGTCTGAAGAAAGTCGTTCGTGATTATTACTTCTCCCAAACTTTCATAATTGTTGGTATTAAAATGTGAAAACAACATCCTAATCGTTTATACTTTTCTTAGGATTTCATTCTATTTTTTGGAAAAATTTAAAAAAGACTTTCCCCCCAACTATGTGTGCATTATTTTTCTCCCCTTAAGTTATTATTTTTTATTATAAAGTTGAACCTTATAGAAAGTTTTTTTTGGGGGGACTACCCATTGTAACCCATACATGTTTCAGCTATCTTAATACAATTGTTATTTCTTTTCTTGCATTCATCAGCTTTGAATATTTTATATATGTGTATGTATGTATTTGTCTATGTTGCCTTGTTGTTTTAATTGGTACTTCTTAAGTTTGTTTAGGAGTTTAATCCCTGGTTTTTGAATTGTCTGTTTATGTGCTCTCCCATTTATCTGCTGGGCTCTCAGTTGTTTTTGTGCATCAGTTTATATGGCCTGTGTAACTAATAAAATGTTACCCACGTGCTGAAAATATTTTTCGCTGAGCTGTTAGCCTTTTTATTTGGGTGACGATTTTTTTTTTTGTTATTTTTTTTTGAAATAGCAAATGCTTTATTGAATCTGCTTCCTTTTTGGTACCAAAAAAAAAAAAATTCTGGAAGAGAACGGAGATTTTTTTGTTTTACTTTTTTTTTTTTTTTTTAATA